GAACACGTTAAGGCAGAATGAAGATGAAGAAACTTCTAGCCTCCCTTCTGGGTTAGCACTCTGTCCTTCTAAAAAGGGCAAAACTTTTTATCGGCAAAGAGTGAGAACTATACCTTAAAGTGCTGATTTACAGTATTTGGAATCTGGTACAGCTCAGTAACACTGTGGCCACGAGATTGGCCATACCCAAGTAAAGTCAGCTTAAATGTATTCAACAGATGCAAATTAAGTCACTTCCCTAACTGCTCTACTTCCGTCTTGCCAGAATTTCAGATACTATTATGAAGAAGAATCCAAAGTATTTCCAGAAACATGCCTACGTTCTGATGCAGTGTAAACACCGGGGGGTTGATACTTATTTTTCAAGCAACTAAAAACTACCTACGGAGGATTAGTAAGTTTATTCAACACTTAACCATCTACTCATTAATTTAAAGAAGGCTATCTTAAAGCTTAGAGGCCATTTCTTTCTCTAAAGCCATGACTTCACACAAACAATACAGTCTACTTCTGATGGTAACATAGTTTAGGGCAGCTTTAAAAATTGTGCACCAAATGAGCAGTTTCCCCTGCAAGAACTGCTTGTACGTGCCGAGTCTAATTCTGTGTAAGTAATGCTGATACGTGTGTCTCCCAAACCCTTACATTAATTTAATTACCCTGAAAACATAATAGAGAGAGATTAGTTCAGCAACTTAGGGGCTAGATTTTACGCTAGTGTTGAACAAGCCTGATTTTGTGTGCCTGCTCAGGTCACATACACAAAGAGAAGATTATTTGAGAAATCAAGTTTTAGCTGCCAGTGTATACCACCTGCCAAAGTACTATAAATCAGCATGCGAGAAGATACCTACTTCAAATCCACTGGAAAAGTCACTAACCGTAGCAAACCTGTGCGTCTTGGCCGTCATTAAGTTAATATGCTTTTCAAGCTTTGTGAACGGAATTTTATGATTACATACAGCTTATCTGGAAATCCAGAATTTTATTCTGGATCGGTGAGGTAGTCGATGTAACCATCCTCATGTAGATGTCACACTTCTCCGAAGTTGGTGTGTCCGGTCTCCTTGGCGTGTTCTCTGGCTTCCACTTGTCCAGTGAGTCCCTTCTGGCACACCATGCACCTCAGCGTAAAGCGGTTCACATCGGTAAACTGCCTCTTCCGTCTGGCTTCGTCTGCCAACTCCAATGCTTGCGCGAGAACAATATCATCAGTTGTGGAGAAAATGGTCTGGGGAGGAATGTCCGAGTCGGGGATTTTGCGCTCGAGCGGATCGTAATGAATCCCATCGTAAATTAAAAGGACCCGCTTACTGTAGCCGGCGTCTTCCCCAAAACGGTCGATTCTGACTGTCTGCGTGTCCACCACGCAGATTTCGCACTGGTAGAATTTGGATAGAATGGACACTTCGATGGCTCCTCCCCAAGTCTCTTCCCTTCTGATCCAGTCACAATACTCCCTGTTAGTCTTCCCTAGAACTGCCTCACAGTAGGATTCAGGATCACTTGCTACTATCTGGGCTATAAGGCTGCGCATCTCTGGAGCGCAGCCCGGGTCATAAACGCCTCCCTCCACCACGTAGTACACGCTGGTGAAGAGGCAGGAGTTATCTGCCGGAACAACCCTCCTGGCAAGCACAGGCACGGCTTCCCTGACCGAGCCGGACATCGTTCTTTTCGCAACTACAGGCAACTCCGTCTTGGGTTTGGACGTATCCTCTTCAACTATGAGCGTATCACCTGTCAAACGCAGAAGGAAGGGGAACTGAGAGAAATACGCAGACGGGAGTTAAAGATGCGGCTGCTCCTAACGCGGAACAACGCGGCTGCGCTGTCGTTACTGAGGACCGCGCTCGTTTCCCCCGGCAGCACGGTGTCCCGACGGAAAACAGCCTCAGCCAAAGCGGCCGGCGGGCCCCCAACACACCGGTCGAGGCGGGGCGGGCGGGGT